CCCGCGCCGAGGAGCCGCAACAGCGCGTGGAGTTCGGGTCTGCCTTCGAAGCGTGGGAAGTGTCAGGCCTTAGAGGCCTCCTCAGGTGGCTGAGAAGGTGGAAGGACAAGGAGATAAGAGATAAGAGCAGCAGGGAGGAACTGAGCCTGGCAGACTGCTCCCAGGGAAGTCGTGTGAGTAGGATGGCCCTTACGGAGCAGATGGCCAAACCACTCCTGAATGCAAACCCTTCAACAGCGAGACATCTCACACCTGTAGCTATTAAAGTAAGTCATATTGCATGAATGTATGAAAACGGAGTGTGCTGGCTGAGGTCGATCAGATTTCAGTTTTCATGGAGAGGAGTAGCTGGTTAGGGCCAGGTAGAGCAAGAAAAAGGGATGCTGTGTCCCTCGGTGTACTTTTTTCAGTGCGTTTGTTCCAAGCTGGTAGTGGCTCCAGCTCTTCCCAGCCAGAGAGCTCCAGTACACATACCTAGAAGGGCCTAGTTTACATTGAAAGAATTAATATTAAGCTTGGTTGCACCTTCCAGACAATGAAGCCCCTTCTCTGTTCATGTGGAGAAATCTGAAACATAAATTCTTTCCAGCAAAGTTTATATAATGAATCCTTATCTTCAAGCAGCTTCAAATACTAGTCAGGGGCAGAGTGGGAGTAATGTGGTAAATGTGACTGGGTGTGACTAGTGTCCAGCATAGATCTATTCCACTTGACAAGTGCTACATATTTCTTTCCAACTTAATCCATGGTAAAATGTGGATTCTTCTGAGGACCAGCCAAGGAACCCAGCCTATTAGACTAGAAACCCTAGTCTAATAGGCTGGGTTCTCTCTACCTGGTATCTATCAGTTGAGCTCATTGAAATGGAGTGTTTGGGGAGTTGATCTTGCCACTGCTCATTCCTGTGCAGGTCCTGCACCCTGGGCTGGCCCATCAAGTCCAGATGGACCTGTTTCTCATGAAGCTGGGTAGTCACATCATTGGACTTATCCCTGGATTCAAGTGGCTCAGTTTGACAGAGATTGTGGAGGAGTTTGAGAAGCTTATGATGCAGCAGGTAGGTGCCATGCCATGGTACCCATGTTCTGAAACAAAACTGCCCTTTGTCTTGCTCTGCTGGATGACCAGAGGGTCACACCACTGCATTTTAAAGGGTTAGGTGAAGGCTGTCCTGTTCCTTACTGATGTTCTTTATTCTAATCAGTTACATAATGTTGCTGTAGGAAAACTTCTTTGTTCACAAAGTGAAAAAGCAACACAGTAAAAAGGTTTAACAATCTTTATTAGATGTAAAAATATTTTTTAGACACTTTGAAAATCGATTTTAGATTTTGTTTTCTAGTGAACAGTCTGAACAGCTGTCTAGGTATTGTCACAGTCCTTTTGGCAGCATTGTGAAAGGTGAACACTGGTGACATGCCTCTCCTCAGGAAAAGAATCTCTCCAAGAAGTGCTCAGGAGTGTGTTTGGTTTTTTTTCTTTAATCCTACACACATTTGCAATCTCTACTCACTAATCTTGTTAGCTTTGAGTTATATATATTGGCATAAATAATATGTTTTCCTGTAAGTTAATAACACATTCTATATTTTATTGACTTCAAACTCATAGTATTTGCAAAGTTAGGCTTTGCAAATATATCTGAAAACATCCTGATTCACTTATGTCTTCTAAAGGCACAGTCCTGAGATGTTACCATCAAACCTAAAGAGTTTCTAGTAAAATGAACCATTATCTGCAAATTTCATTTTTGTGTCTAGATTGCAGGATATGAAGTCCGTAACAAGCTTTTCAAAGCCTTAATTCTTTTCTGCTATTGCAAAAATCCACACAGTAAATCTGTGTTGTAAACTGTTGACTGTAGTCGTAAGAACTAGTTTAGTCCAGCAGAGCTTTTGGTGGATGCACTGAAGACTGAGGATTAGGAGAACAGCTGATAGGCTTATTGTTGCTTTATTTCTCTTTGAAAGAACCAGAAGTGTTCCTGGGATATTTCCCATTGTCAGATGAGGGAGGTGAGGTAAGGTTATCCTGCCTCCTTGAGCAGCAGTGGGCAGTAGGAGAGATGCCCTTGTGTCAATGCACAGATCACTGAAGAGCCAGGGCCTGGAGTGTGCACAGCATATTGTTTTGTATGTTTTACATTAAATTTCTCCCTGCAATGGCTGTGTGCTGGTTTGAAAGCATCTCACAATGGGACTATGTAATTCTATGGGTCATGCATGGGTCCCAGACAGCCCATTAAACAGAGACAGCCCCTAAGGGAGCCATCAGTGACTAGTAGGAGATAAAGATCACTGCCCCCACCTGCTTTAACAGCTTGTGAAGGTGATAATAGAATACATACCCCGGGTTACCCCCTACATTGTAACCTAGGACAGGCTGCCTGTCTGTAAAGTGAGGCAAGGGCTGCAGTTCTTCTACCCTGATTGCTTGCCTTGTTATTTGATCAGTAAACTTTGGTTCAGGATCTTTTGTCCTTGAATGTAATGCAGTCATGGTCTATTTGGAGCCGCCATGCCTCAGTAAGGCACCCATGTTTCAAAGGTGCTGGGTTGTGGGCCATCCATTACCCAGCTGATTACTCTTCCGTCAGGAAAGCTATAAAGGTGTAAGGAGCACCACTCTTATTTTGTTTTCGCTTTGGCTTTCTGACTACTTTTGGTGGTAGTGAGTATTGCACCCTAGAGTCCTATCCTCATACAGGATTCTGAAGATCCAATTCTAGCTGAATCTAATCTCCAATCTGCTTTTTCTGTTTCTCCCTTGAGATTGACTTACGCTACGAAGCCAGAAATCTGGAGCGCTTCCGACAGAATTTTCTAGGTGTTGATTTCGTGAAGTTTCCAACTCCCCTTTGGCCTTTGGTAACGACAGATGTTCTAGTGGAAACATTTGAGGTAAGAACTGCAGGGTCTGGGGGTGGTGGTGGCAGGGAGAAGGCCCCGAGGAGAACATGTCAAGGAGGTGTTTTTTGAGAAGAAGGGATCAGAGGCAGAAGGATGCTTTTCTCTTATTTACTTAAGGATATTGGTGTCCTTAGTGTCTCTTCCAGTCTTTTCGTTTGTGAGCAGTGCATCATGGAAGTCAGGTGGCAGACAACTCCATATAGAAGTGAACACTTGGCCTGAAACCAAGCAGACCAGGAGTGTGTCCAGCCACCATGTGCTTGCCTGTGCTTTGCAAACCAACGCCACGCTTCACCTCTCCTCTGTGGTGGGTAAAAGCAAGGAGCCCAGCAATCTGACGCTTCTTGATCCTTGCCTTACTTCCCATAGGGATGTTTGAGTCACCAACCAAAGCTACTGCCAAGCCTTAGTTTTCCTTCATGTGAGCTTGGCAAGGGTATTTCTGTCCCAGAGATACTGTCCCTCTTTCCAAAGACTAAATCTGTGCTTCTCTATCACCTTTAGATACGGCCTCTGTCTAGCTGGGCCTTTCTAGGGTGTTGTTATCATCTCCCCTCTACGCTTGGCACCCAGGTGAAGGTGTGGTTGAATGTGGGATGCAGGGTGTGTTTGACTGCAGCTCTTTGTTTCAGGAGAGTGAGCCTATTTCACACTACCTGCATGCAGAGATTGCCAGAGAGCTGCGGCAGAGACTCGCAAAGATGGGCATGGACATGCTGCTGAAGATGGTAGGCACTTGGCCGAGGCTAGGAGTGAAGGTTCTTTTCCTGCAGATGCTATTCAGTTGGGGTAATCAGGCAACATGGCTAAAGAGAGAAGCTATTGGCTTCTCACATCTCCTACCTGTACCCATGTCCACGGGGACATGGACCAAAGACACTGCAGAAGGGCCATCTGCTTGCATGCAGTGGGACCAGCTGTGCACCTTGGTCAGCACATTGCTTAGGAAACCCATTAATCTCTTTAAGGAATATTCATATATTGCCCAAGGACTCTAACATGCAATGTAATTAGCAAACATCCTGCACTCTGCAGAGACTATGGATGCAACTCAGGGCAAACAGCTAACTAGTTTCTTCATTTATTGTCTTCTTTAACACTGCCTTTCTGTAAGAACTGGATATGGACTAAAGGAAACAAACCTAGCCAGATTCAGCTTCTGGCTGTCTAGTTCTTCTGTGGCTAAAATAATCACAAATGTGACAGAGTGTTGAGAAGGTGATACAGCTGCCTTCTGAGGAGCCATGAGAACTAGCAGGGCAGAGCTGCAAAAGAAGCTGACAGTACTGAGTGTGTGGGCAGTAAGTGCCAGATGAAATGCAGCTGATAACAGCAGCATCATGCTAGGGCAATGGCAAGCCTGCAGCTCTGACTCCATGCAGTATGGCAGGCTTTGAAATAGCTTTTGCTACTCAGAAAAGCAGTGGTGGAATGAGAGTAGTTTCATGTTAACATTGGTTTCAAATTTTAGGAGTAGGAAAGAATTAAAGAGCAAAGAAACAGCATTATGTCTGTAAGTAAAACAAACACCTGTTTCTTGAGAACTCTGTGCAGTTCTAGGATCCTCCATTTCAAGAGCTGTAATAGAACTAGAGGAGGTGCAGTAGAAGGCAGATAGGATGATTTCTGGTGTGGAATGTTTTCCATGCTGGAATGGTGAAATAATTTGGAGTCTTAACTCAAAAGCAGAGAAATGAGTAGCTTATGACAGAGATATATGTAGTCAGGCGTGTGTGAGAGTGAATATAGATCTGTTGTCTGTGGTTTCTCAAAACAGAACAATGAGTAGGACATAAAATTACCAGAGGTCATTTTTTCAGGCAACACCTAAAAAATGTATTTTTTTTTCCACATATTTCACCCTATTTACATGGGTGTTGGACAAATTTGTAGGAGAAATCCATGAAATACAAAGATAACCTCCTGGGGGCAGGAAGTTCTGCAGCCCCAGGTGGCCAGGAGGGTTAGTGGGGAAGTCTTGTTTTGTGCTTACCTTCTTGCTAGTCCTTTCTGGTGCTAACTGCTAGCAGAGTCAGAGAAGGGCTGCATAGATTTGTTTCCCCTTCTGTTAACTTGTTTTCCAATTCAGTTATAATGTGGGTTGATGTCCTGGACTAGACAAACTTAACCATTCACTATAACCCTTACCACTGAATGGTAAGTGGTCCATTCTTACTGTATTACTCTTTGGGGCCCACCAGTGTGCCACCAGTTTAGGGTTAATTGCTGAAGAGCACCACCATTCCCTGCTGGGACTCCTGGCTGTCCTACCTGACCCTCTGTAGCACCCATGCCATGCCAGCACAGCTGCTCTTCAGCAGAAGCCAATTGCTGTGGTGCTGCCGAGGGTGATGCGCACCAGCAACAAACCTCTGCTGTTTGCCTGGGAGTTTTGGTGTGGGTAGGTTTGGTTGGAATGAGCTGCTCTAAGACTTACCTGTCCTCTAGGTCTTTATTGACAACTTTGTCCATGCTGACCTGCACCCTGGGAACATCCTGGTTCAAGGCACAGCCCATGTCAGTGCCAGCTGCAAGGAACAGATGGCGGTGGTGGACCCTTGTGACACGTTCGTGGTGGAAGTGCAGCCACCCCTCAGACAGCTCTGCCTGGTGCTGCTGGATGCAGGGATTGTGGCAGAGCTGCAGAGCGCTGACATGCAGAACTTCCGTGCGGTTTTCACAGCTGTGGTCCAGGGACAGGTGAGGCCTCTGCCATGAGACACAGCTCAAGGAGCTGGAAAGGAGACAGCTGGAGAGTCTGATGACTGAAGTGAGAATTTTCTCTCTATTTCCCTTTAAAAATCCACCCTAAAAGGGGTTAGAAGACTTGCTAGCATGGAAGCGATACCAAATACAGGGATAAGATGTTCAGGCTGCAGGAGTGAAGCAATTTCAGAGGGTCAAGAAGCAGAAGGTGCTAAACAGGATTCAGTGGCTGGCACCCCGTCCCTCTGCTGCAAGTTAGGACTGCCAGTGAGCCTCTTGAATTTGAGACTTTCAGAATCTGTCAGGTTTTGCTAGAGAAGAGAAGGGAGTGGATTAATATCTTGATTGTCCACACATGTTCCCTTCTGGAGCCTTGCTGCTGGAAAGACTGTATACCTTCACCCATTTTGCTGGTGTGTCAGCATCTGTAGAGAAGAGGAAGTAAAACAGGTGAAGGGGTTGACTAAGCTCCTCTGTATAAGGAGAACTACCCTATCTTCCTTTCCACTTGAAATGCACTCTCAGATGGACAAGAGAATCCAGTGCTGATGTCTCCTGTTCATTCTGAGGAACAAGCATCTGTGCTCATACTTGCCTGTTTCTCAGGTGCAGGTTGAATGGTTCACCTGTGCATCTCAAGAGGGTGACATTTTACTTTGGTCTGTTTAACCTGCCAAAGCATGCCAAGGAATCAGTGCCAAACCATGTATTCAAGCCCATCCTGTGCTGCCAGATGTACTTATCAGCTACTAAGCTAGATCTGCAACCATTTGATTGCAAGTCACCAGTGATCACATTCTGATTTTCCTTTTCAACTTGATTCTCAGGGGGAGAGAGTGGCAGAACTGATCCTCCATCACGCCCGTGCTAACCAGTGCCAGGACATTGAGCGATTCAAGGCTGATATGGCTGAACTAGTGACCAAGGTCCGGGGGAACACCATTGCCCTAGGAAAGGCAAGTGCACATTGTCTCCTTTTCACTTGCCTGCAATTCAGTGCAACGTAGCACTGAAAACTGAAACAAAAGGGGTTTTTGGATCAGTTGTTAACTTCTCCTTTTGTATTCCAGCTTCAAGTGGCAAATCTCCTCTCAAATGTCTTCAAACTATTGATGACCCATAAGGTGAGGTCCTGTCACTGTCTGCCTTCAACAGCTGGAAGTTTATTTGGGGAGGGAGAACTACTGGGAGCATGAGGGGCTGACAAGGAGAGGAACTGACTTCTGAAATGAGCCACTAGGAGAGGGACTGCAGGAATAAAAAAAATGTTTCTTGGCATGTTTCTCAGCATATCTGTTTTGTTGAGTTTTTTTGGTCTTAATACTGCATTTAATGGTTGGTATTGTTTACTAAAAGGAATATTTTTGTAACACGTGTTTTTTTCCTATCTTTTTTTTTTATAGTCCCTTAGAAGCAGAAAATGAAATCTAATATATGTCACTTATATACCATTGCATGCTCTCTTCCCTGGACCTTTGTCTTGATATGGGGTTATATAACAGCAGTAGACCATTTTCCTGGTTTTTCAGAGGCCTCAAAAGTGAGAAGTTGCTCACAGAACAGAGATTTCCTCTTAAAACTGATTACTTGGGGGACAAGATTCTGCAATTGCAAACAACACTGGAAATCAACAAAGCTGTGGTGGGCTGAACTAGAGGAGATGAGAAGGTTGTCAGCCACAGGGCTGCTCGGTCTGCAAAGAGTCCCTCTAAACATTCCTTAGGTAGAGGTTTTTGCCAATAAGCCTCATTAAGCAGGTTTCTAATAGCATGAAATGCAATTCAGGTCCTTACAAAGCAAGCCCTCCCAATCTCATGAATTCTTAGTGCTTGGTATGCCTTGAAACAATGCTAGTGTCTGGCTGGGAACTGGGGAGTAGTTTGTTCACAGGCAGAGCAGGGAATCATTTCCTCTGTGACTTGTGGGATCTTCTGTGGCCATTCAGAAGGTGAGCTCCCATTATACAAGTGCATGTGTTCAAGTATGATACTTGAACAGATACTACTGCAGCTCAACTATGCTAGCAAGAGTGAGCACTTCTAAGATCCTGCTATTCCTGTACGGAAGGAAATAAATTCCATTCCCCTTCTTGGAACTGAAAACAAACACTCAATCTCTCACCCTGAAACTGTTGCCTTATGTTTGGGCTTGCTGCTGTGTTTAAGTGAGCTCTGAAACTCCAGCTGGTGAAGATACAGTATTGTTTTAGGTGTGCATATGTTCTCCCCAGCCTCTTCCTTCCCCTCTCAGCTTAGCCAGAGCTGGTAACTTGGTTGAATGAGTACAGAAGAAAATAAGGTCCAATGAGTCCATGTAGTCTCTTGTGATTGTAGGTGAAGCTCGAGAGCAATTTTGCTTCCATCATCTTTGCCATCATGGTTCTGGAAGGACTTGGTCGCTCACTGGACCCTGAACTGGACATTCTAGAGGCAGCTAAACCACTGCTCATCAAAACTGTACCTTCTGTCCTCAAATAGACTCTTATGGCTGCTGCCCTCTCCCCATGTGGGAGCTGATGAAGGAAGCTGAAGGTGAGAAGTCACATGTACCCTGGGGATGTGCTGTGCAGTGGTTACTCACCATGAATGTTGCTTTCAGTCTCTTCATCTGAGCACCAGGCATGGGATGATCAGAAGGTCTATTCCAGAAACCAGGAAGACTTTGCACAATTGGAGATTTCTGACTCATTGCACAATTCTCAGAGCTAATGTGCTATGGTAGTTTTTAAACTGACGTGTAGTTTAGGTGCACAAGATGACTGCAGCCTGATGAGAAAAGCAGTCTTACTTGTCTAAAAGTCTAAAAGATGTTCATTGATCAAGTCTGAAATATTTTGTAATATATCAGGTTTAAATATTTAAAGTTACTTTACTGACTTACCTGACACTGTGGTATGAGAAATGATGTTCTGACATCATCTAAGCAACTCATCCAGGCTGAAAAAAAGCCAACAAACCTGTTTGTCTTTTGTTCTTTTAACTTCTACTTTTATTGTAGAAGCATTCTAAGAACCTGCATGTAGCAGTCTGTTCTCAGTCATATTGAATGATAAAAACAGACCAGACATTTTTCAAAATCCTGTACTCTAGCACAACATTATAGGAGTTTGGATTATAAACAGCAAAATAAAATATTTGCCTAGACAGAAAACCTAATTCCATAATAATAAAAAACCCCAACTTCTATGAATATTTGTAGTGGTCTTCTTTTTCTGAAGCTTAAGAGGCTTTTTTTACCTCTGTGCTCTTGTTTCCTGTGTTCTTCTTTTCCTCCCTCATGCTCCCCTAGTCAACTCAAAGCTTTACAACTAATATGCAGATTCTTGGGGTTTGTTTCTAGTAGGCTGCAAAACAAGGAGTCCAAGCATTTTCCTCATGGATGGAAAACACATTGTGAATGTTTAAAATTCAGCAAAGCCAGCAAAAGAGCTAGATTATACATGGCTTTTACAGACAGTTATTTTAATAGTAGCATTAAAATTGTTTTATGGCTGCACTTTAGCAGTGAGAAAGCAGTCTATGAATGCTTGGAAGTACTGTAATACTAAATATATTCCCAGATACACTGTATGTAAAATAGTAGTAGTGCAGGGTCTTGGCAGTAGTGGTCTATTCTCAGCTGGTTCTGCAGTGAAGAGAAAATACCTAAATAGGCAATCTTCTATTTTACAGTGATTATAAAGTAATGATTAACGACATATAAATGAAGTCTGAAAAATAAGTTTCGATTCATCTCAATGTATTTCATGTGCTTTCCTTTAATCACTGCATATTCCATTTCCAAATGCTTAAAGGTAAAAACAGCAGTAGGGTTTAATATCTTTCAAGTTTTAGGCTTGTTTCTCTAGGCCTAGCTAGACTTAAACTCAAGTAGGCACAGCATTGTCCTAACTAGCACATGATTTTATGTAAAAGGGAACTCAAACAAGAAGAAAAGCAAGGAACTCCGGATCAATGCCTTAAATAAAATGTCTTTGTGCTGTCAGCAGGGTGTGTGTTCCTACCCAGCTCGGGGATAGAGGTGCCAGGCCCAGTCCATCAGGTGCACAGGTCTTGGGTGCAACCACCCATGTTCCAGTCAACGTTTCCAGAGGCCAAATAGAGTTTAAATAGTAGAATTCCATGTCCAAAGTGCAAAACTGCCTCACGTGTAGCTTGCATAATATACAGAAAGTTCTATTTTTGCCAGACCTTAATTTTAACAAACAAAATGTCAAAGCCTCCAGTTTATATTTATGTTCATCTTTTCTTTTCCCTTTTTTTTTTTTTTAACAAAAATCTGAGGATGGCTCATGCATATTATGGATTCTAAAGTTTAAAAATATCCCTTTCAGCTATTAAGGTCTCAGAGTTGTTTGTAAACATCTGGATGAGAGACTTTGTCTTTTTAGAGAAAGCTGAAGGCATAGCCTGTCCATTATTTCTGAAGGAATGCAGTCTGAGACTTACTGCTAGCCATTCAAAGATGTGTCAGGATTTCAAAGGAGTTCCCTTCTACGAGTTTTCTTAATTTTACTTTTGGTTTTTTTGTTTATTTTAGAAACTGCCATTACCATCAGTGCTATATTCTTGTAAAATGCATACATTTGTATGCTTACCTTTCTGCTGAGTGGTGTGACATGTTTCTGAGTGTACATAGAATGTCAGGCAACAACATTTACATTTTATGCCTAGTTTGGTTCTAGCTGTTACTTGAAACAAGGTATCACACGTATTTATTTTAGCATAATTCTGGATGAAAGAAGAACATCTTTTCATATAACCCTGAGTATTCCTGCAAATAAATTGTGCCATGCCCATTCTCCTTTCCTAAATACCCTTCTGAAAAGAACAGGTACATTTCTGGTTATCCAGAGCTGATAATAACATTCCCTGTGACACAGCCACTGTATTTTGTACTTCTGGGGATGTGAGGAAGAGGAACAAGCATAACCTCCTCCTTCTCCTCCCCTTTGTGAAAGAAGGCACCTCTGCTCATCAGAGTAGAATGCAGTAAAAAACCCACTCCTGATGCAGAAAACTCTCTAGATGTGCCCGACTGTTAACCTTTCACACTGCATGCTTCACTCAGGAAAGTGAGTGACACACTTAGGAAATCAGGGGAGTCCTGCACAAGTTGCACTGTGGGCTCCAGGTGATAACTGTGCTTTACCTTATAGCCTGAGTGGGGAACTCTTCCCTTCCATTAGCACTACTGCTACCTCGGGTACTTACACCATTCGTTAGCTGTCAGTTTAGCTTTGCAGCATTCTCCTCATTTATTCACAGACAACAAAAAGTCTGTTTATCCTAACTAGGTGCCCTGCCTGAAAAGATATCTGAGTATCATTCTGACATAAGATTACCTTCTTTGGAGACTGCCAGCCTGCAAGTGAGACTGTAGGCAAAATAGACCCCCAGGCCTGCCATTTGGTTTGGTGATTCTCCAAAGACAGGTATTTGAGAGATCATGTGACCTGACAGTAGATCTGTTACCTGAAGCCCAACCTGGTGAACTAAAATAGTAACTCCAGAAAGAAAGTCATGTAAAGGACAGAGTAGTGGAAGTGCATTCGAGCTGCGATGGAAGGGAGATTAAAGACCTGTCCAGGAATCATAATTCCAACTGTCACAACTGCTCTGGCACACTGACTCACACCTACCAGATACAGACCAGGTGTATGACCTGCTCCAGTGCCTGCTCACCCACCCTGCAGTTTCCTCACGCTAGCAGTGACACCCAGGGCAGCAAAAGGTTCTGTTCTCTTAGGTACTGCTGGAGGCCATGGTGTTTTTTGCCTTCTTTTTCCATCTTCTGATGTGATGGTCTCTGCTCTGGAACACTATCACTTTGGCAGTCTGGTGTTGGTTTTGTTGCTTGTTCTGCTTCCATGATTTTTGTTCCAACATTTTCTGCTGTGCATTTTGCTGCTCAGAGACTCCTACAGAAAGACACTGACAATTGCACAGACAGCTTTCATACCAAATCTCATCCTCAGTTTTTATCTGTGTCCAGCTCTGGGGCCCACATGAGAAGGACATGGACTTGCTGGAGGAAGCCTAGAGGAAGGTTATGAAAATGCTCAGAGGACTGGAGCATCTCTGCTATGAAGACAGGCTGAGACTTGGGGGTGTTCAGCCTGGAGAAAAGAAGGCTCTGGGGAGACCTCAGAGCACCTTACTGTACCTAAAGGTGGTACAAGAGAGCTGGAAGGGGACTTTTTCCAGTTACATGGAGTGACAGGACAAGGGGTGATGGCTTTAAAACAAAAGAGAGTAAGTTTAGATTAGATATAAGGAAGAAATTCTTTACGGTGAGGATGGTGAGGCACTGGCACACGTTGCTTAGAGAAGCTGTGAATGCTCCATTCCTGGAAGTGTTCAAGGCCAGGTTGGATGGGGCTTGGAGCAACCTGCTCTAGTGGAAGGTGTTGCTGGCCATGGCAGGGCGGTTGGATCTAGGTGATCTTTAAGGTCCCTTTCAAGGCAAACCATCTTATGATTCTATGATTCTCACTGGTAGAAGTCAGAAATGGATATAATTTATGAAAACTCTTTCCTTAAATGCAGAAAGGCTCCTTCTGTGGCAGAGATGGAAAATTTTACTTCCCATTTTGCTTCCATTTAGACACATCAAAAATGTGTTACCCTTGTTTATCTCTAAATGATATAGTCATATTGGATATAAAATGTGTGAAAGACAAATACTCTGGATGGTGCCACTGCTGGAAACATGGCAGAACAGGAAAATAATTTCTGGAATTGCCCTTACCAGCCTTTTTTTCTCATGTTCAAAGCCCTTTTCATTGCGTTCTGCCTGCAACTCCTCTCTCTGCAAACACTGTATCTTTAAGAACTGCAGCCTCTGACTTGCCTTCCCCTTCTCCTCTCTAAAGAAGGATTTCTTCCTGCTGCTCTCTGCCCTAGCACCCTGGAGCAGTGCCATGGGCTGAAAAGCACTCTCTTTGTGCTCCAGCTGTTTCTCCAGCCCTTGTAATGTTCTCTGACACAATCACTGTCTGTTTCCCAAACAAAATTTCTCATAAAGAAAGAGCAGTACAGAGAAAGACAGTGCATAAAACATACAGCAAATATTCCAGCAATCTGTGCTCAGTTAATATTCCAGGACTCTTTGACAGGTTATGAGGGTTAAGCCTGTGTCCAAATACAGTGGCAGCAAAACCTGCAATGGGCTGGTGCCGGATGTCAGCTAACTGCAGGCATCTGTCCATCTGACTACATACCCTGCTGCAGCCAAGCATTGTTGGCCCTGAAGATCAGGAACCAAGGAAATGGAGTGTGTAGATAGGGCGGTAGGACTGACCTGGACAGCTGGGTGGATGTGTATTGATGGTGAAGCCCCTGGGACAACAGTGTTACGGTAACAGATCCTAGACGTGATGACCTGCTGCACAAGTAATTTAGAGGGGACCCAGCAAACAATCTTACTGGAAAATATGAGGCACCTCAGAATAGGTGTAGCAGCTGGAGGTCAGCTC